CCTCACAGGACCTGGGCTCCAGGTGCAGCTTTCACAGCATTAGCACTTTGGTCCTCACCACTTAGAATCTGATTTTCACCTTCCAGCGTTTGGTCCTTTCCAGGCCTGGTTGCTGGGGTTTAAGGGACACACCGTCAGCATAACCCTTTGCATCATTTTCTCTAAACTGCTTCAATATGAACAAGAAACAAAGAATGTGTTACTATTTCTGAATTACCTATAAGACAATCACAAAGCAACATATCACTTTGTGATTTCTATTCCTCATGTGAGTGTATTTTCTCCAACTCCTTCTCAGGAGGAAAGTGCTCAGCCAGGTTTGATTATTCTTCATAGTGATGAAAAATGAAGTTATTAGTCACTACTCTCTTTATCTCTACTTTCATATATTCTATAGAATGATGTCACCACTCAAGAGACCTTCTTGTAGCAAGATGTTTCCAAACCCTGTTTACAACGCTTGAGCAACTCAAGGTTAATAACAGATGTGAGGCATCATATATCACTGGTTGCCTCTGAGGGGATTCAGAAAGTTTGGCGGATGCAGTTGGACAGACATACAAGCAATAACAGAAAGCCAGCATTATGTATATTTTGGAAGGCAATGGTCCCGTGGGAAATAACAAAAAGAGAGGGCTCTGTGATGCCGTAAGAAAGAGCTTCCACCACGTTGCTATAATTCGAAAAGAATTTCTCTCCTATACAAAAACAAGGATGTAATCAGCATGGATTTTCTGGAATTAGAAGCTTTCTAGCAATCATGATTAAAAAGTTATTCTACACGTTCTGATTGCTATTTTTCAGATGTGTCATTCCTGGCCGCAATTCCATATGGAAGATTTGATGGGTGTACACCACTGCCACAGGGCTGGGAGCTGTAGCTACGGGCACTGTAACGAGGGTCTTACCTGCAGGCTGGTAAACCAAGACCGTGGGAGCAGGCAGAAGTTCCCCTCCATCCCCCCACCTCCAGGGGATGAAGTGGGTTCAGAACCCCCAAAGAACCACCTGACTTGGGACCCTCACGAGGATCATCTCACTGGTGCTCAGCAAAACAATAAAGGCAGAGAGACTGAGACAGAGTCTCTGTGTGAAGGGGCTTCCACATGCAAGCAGATAAATTACAGTGTGAGGTCAAAGGGGCAGCATGAGGCCAGCTGAGTCCTAAATATCAGAAAATGGGGCAAGAATTAAAGGGAAGACAAGATTCCTAAGGACTTTATAGATGCTGACTGCGAGGGCAGCCCATTAACACGTCTACACAAGAGGGGGACTCTTGAATGAGGACACCTAATGATGAAAAAGTGCCCTGTAAGTCAGACCCCGCTTCCACTCAGAGTAGAAGGAAAACAAAGCCTGATTTATGCGGGAAAGCTCTAAAAGGCCCTCCAGATCTGTGGTATGAGCATATGGCACTCAGACTGCATCCCCTGTTTGTTCGACACAAAGAGAGCTCCCACCCAGCTGGATATGCAGGGCGTGGGGTGAGGTGAGGTCCTGGGTGCTTGTGGGTCGTGAGATTAAATAAGACCTGGTTCTTGGCATGGACTGGCATCGAGCGCTGTGGGCAGAGCAGGCCCTGTTTACTCAAGGGCTGATTTCTTCCACACTAACACTGGGCACTGGAGTCTCACCATCTCCTGGGACTCCCTTGGTGTGTTACTATGGCCAGTGTAGGGCAACACGTCTCCAGCTGGCTCCAAGAACCAGAAATGAATAAATATTGAAATTTTTTTTATCTTCCAGCTTGAACATCTCCTTTATGCAATCCTAATTTTTTTATTGAAGTGTTATTAATTTACAATGTTATATTAGTTTCTGGGGTACAACATAATGATTCAGTTATACATATATATATATATTCTTTTTCATGTTATTTTTCATAATAGGCTATTATAAGATATTGAATATAGTTCCCTGTGCTATACAATAGGGCCTTGTTGTTAATCGATTCTGTGTGTAGTAGTTTATGTCTGCCAGTCCCAAACTCCTAAAGTATCCCTCCCCCTACATTTCCCCTTTGGTAACCATAAGTTTGTTTTCTATGTCTGTGAGTCTGTTTCCATTTTGTAAATAAGTTCATTTGTGTTATTTTTTTTAAATTCCACATATAAGTGATATCATATGGTATTTGTCTTTCTCTTTCTGACTTATTTCACTTAGTATAATAATCTCTAGGTCCATCCATGTTGCTGCAATTGGCATTATTTATTCTTTCTTATGGCTGAGTAATATTCCATTGTCCACATATACCACAAGTTCTTTATCCAATCACCTGTAGATGGAAAGTTAGGTTGCTTCCATATTTATGCTATTGTAAACAGTGCTTCTACCAACATTTTCAAATTGGAGTTTTCTCCAGGTATATGCCCAGGAGTGGATTCTGGATTATATGGTGAGTCTATTGTTAGTTTTTTGAGGAATCTCTATACTGTTTTCCATAGCGGCTGCACCAATTCACATTCCCACCAACAGTGTAGGAGGGTTTCCTTTTTCTCCACCTTCTCCAGCATTTATCATTTGTGGACTTTTGAATGATGGTCACTCTGACCAGTGTGAGGTGATACTTCATTGTAGTTTTGACAATTCTAATTTTTAAAATGGGCCTATGGAGCATGATATATTTGCCAGCGTATTCTAGGTTCTACGGAGGTGTCAAAAACACATTGGCATGTCCTGTCTTTATCTCAAAGGACAAGAAATAGATAAAACATAGCTCTCAGGGTGGGAGGAAGCAAGTGACTTGTTCACACTTCCTTATGACTTTTGGCCTCAAATGAGACTAGGGTTGAGGTCAGGGTTGACCCTTCCATACACACATACAAACATAATCATACAGACCACACAAAGTACAGAGGAAGAGGTTCTTCTGATTTTTGGAGCCATTGAAATAACAACACTATATAAAGGAAGAATTTTTTTCCAATCTGAGATGCATCCTCAGAGGCAGCACAGTTGTTTCCCTAAGGAAGGTGTCCCCTCCCCAGGGATGTGAATAGGTGTCAGGAAAAATAAATCAGTAAAAGAAAAAGGACAGACAACCGGGTTCTACAGTCAATTAAGTTTAGGAGAGTATGGCTGAAACAACATGACATAGACTTCTTTACAGTTTCCTTAGAACATTTGATACATGAATGTGAGTCGTCAATCTCTATGAGGGAGATTATTGGACCCTGAACTCTAGCTAGCTAGCTAGCTCTGTATCTTTTATTTGTCATGAGCATCTTCCAGACCAGCATTTCATAGACCAGTGGAAAATATGTCAATCTCAAGTCCTTGGTAAGATGGAACATGCAAAAAGCCCTGTAGGCACTGCACCCGTGTGCCAAAGCAACTACCCACGGCTGAGAGTAAAGGCGTCAATGCGTCCACCCTGACTCTGCAGTGATGTGACAGTTCTTAAGGCAGATGAAGACCTCTTCACACGGGTCTGCACACCATCCCGGCCTTATTGATCTTCTGCAGCTACAGAATAAATCTGGAAGAAATTTGTGGACACATTACAAAGTTTTAACCACAGCTGCGCTAATCCATCCAGACCAACATTTTGAAAGCGATGTTCATAGTGAATCAAGCTTTATAATCATGTAACCCGGTCCTCTGAGCCCAATCCACACTTAAAAGGACAATCATGGGCTCAGGAAAGTTTCCCTAGGGCCAATCTATAGATCAGTGGTTAATGAGACAATGATTTTTCTCTTCAGTAATTTGATTTACTAGCTCCCATTTGTGGGAGAGAGCAGGGGGAAAAAATGAAAACTTTTAATAAGTCTCCAAGATTGTTTTGAGCATTTAGTTGTTTGCCTGAGTGACAGTATCTACTCTTGGCTTCTGATGAGAATATTTTACAAATTATTTTAACATAATTTCTGAAAATTAAATTATCTAGAAGCAAATAAAAGGCCAGAGATTCCTTATATGGCTCCAGGAAGAAAGAAAGAAATTTCCCCCTAGGCTATAAAGATGTGATAGAGGCAGTGGTATCTGAGCCTTGAAAAATGAATAGCAAGAGGTTGAAACTTCAGGGCGAGAAAACAGATGTGTGAAGACAGAGGCATGAAACATCCTGAATATCCCCACCAGAGGGGGAACTCTGGGGTGGCTGGAATGTAGGTTTGTAGCAGAGAATGAGAGATACAGCTAGAGCGGCTTTGGAAGCTTTATTATTAAGGACCCTTTGTGCCATTCCAATGAGTTTGAAGTTCATCTTGCAGGCTGCCAGTGAAAGTTTCTAAGCATGGTAGAGTCAGTTTACTTACATAGGTACTTTAGAAAGACAACCTTAGGGAAAATGGGAAAAACACCCTCAACTGTGAGAGACTGGTAACCAGGGTGATCAATCACACAACCATCATAAAGTCCGGAGGAAACAAGCTGCAGGCAAGACCAGAGCTGAGAGTCAATTCTGAGATGCAATGATGAGGTTCAGAAACTAACTGGATGTGGCGGTAAGAAGAAAGGGCTAAAGAGAGCCCTGGGTTTTCTAACCAGGTATATGGTTCCATCATTGAGAGAGCTCAGGATTGCAGAAAAGGGTACAGGTTTGGTGGGAGTAGCTAATAGCACCGATTTAGCCTCAAAAAATATAAAAATAAAATAAAAACCATTCCAGTGGCTTAGGGAAAGGTACAAAGAGGAAACCTTTCCACATTCTTACAGGAGCTGCTATCTCAAAGCCCAGGGTGCCCACAGTTTCTCAGTTGTGGTCTTGTTTGGTTTTAGGGATTTTTCTTTTTCTGAATCTGAATACGATCAATATGTAAAATACCCACACCCATGGCTTCAGCTGGACCTGAAGGTGTCATAAATCATACTGAGTTTGTTTTGATATCTTCAACTTCAACAAACGGTGAGTCAGATCAACTCCCTGTCAAAACGCCTTGCTAACCAGGCAGATATTCCAAAAGGCTTCCTGGTATACCGGGTAGTGGCACAGATACCGAAAATGGAGAAAGATAAGTCTTGGACCTCACCTGTTCACACCTAGCTTGAGTAAAACGGGTCAAGTACAAATATAAGAAGACGTTATTTGAGTCCATGCCTGCCTTCTCCTCTGCTCCACTGCTTTGGTGAAGCCAAGATGAAGTTCACAGTGAGTAGATTTTTTCCTTTTGAATTTATTACCTTAGAATTGGGGACTGTGGCTATTCTGAACTGAGGGAGTCTGCTTCTTATGACAATATCACTGTGATGGAAAAATAATAGTAATAATTGCTCTTTTCTTTTCATGGAACCATAGCATTTATAAGCATCTCTATAGAGAAGGGTAGTTATACTGGGATTAGACAGCTGTCTAAGGATCTTATATTATGATGTCTTTTAAAAATTACTTTCCAGATCTTTCTAGATCTCCTGATTCAGGTCTGGGCACAGAAGAAGAAAAGACAGACCACTCTACAGAGTTGTAAAATAATTAGCAAATAATTTTATAAGCTTAGAGAGAGAAAGAAAGAAGAAAATATTGCTTTGCCTGGTGACGGTAGACCAATGTCATTTGTGATTTCAGATTGTCTTTGCTGGACTTCTTGGTGCCTTCCTGACTCCTGCCTTTGCTGACTATGTAAGTCTCACGTTTTAAAGTGTGTTACCAAAATGCATTTGCAAAGAAATGCAGGTATTAAATCACTGTCAATTTCTTGTAAATTTCAGAATATCAATGTCAGTGATGAAGACAACAGTGGTGGAAGTGGGCAGCAGTCAGTGAGCGTCAACAATGAGCATAACGTGGCCAATGTTGACAATAACAATGGATGGGGCTCCTGGAATTCCCTCTGGGACTACGAAACTGTAGGTAGTCAACATGCAGTATCTGTTCTTTACAAATATGGCATTTTTTTTCTAATAACAATTTAAATTTGCCTGCTAACCATTAGAAAGTTAAAAATAATATAAATTCAAACTGCACATAAGCATAGAGTTATAAGTAAAAGTGCCTGTTTTGTTCATCCAGTTTCACTCCCTAGATACAAGTGTTGTTATTAAGTTTCTCACAATAAGTTAAAATTCAAGCCAGTGAATAGTAATTAGGATCCACTATGCTGTGAGGCTCTAAGTCAAATAGGACATCCTTTTGCTTAACCTGTAGAAACCCTCAGTAAAGGTGAAAAACCCTCATAATATGACTGCATAGTCTATCTCATTCTATCTTCAATTTCCTTCTAAAAAGACAGAAATTGACATTTCATCTGTAACGCAAAAGGACCAAAGGAAATGTAAATGATAATATTAACTAGTAAGGGAAATAAAAACAAACAAACAAAAAAACAAAACAAAAACAAAAAACAGTTGGCTCTAGTTAAGATGCTCAATTCTGCAATTAACAGCTCTGTATTTAATAAACTTTGTACTTGAAAAAAGCCAGTCCTTTACAGTTTCAGTTTTATCATCTGGTCAGTTAGAAAACTAATTCCTGTCTTACTTGCCTCCTTGAAATTCTGTGAGGATCAAAGGAGATCAAAGTATGATAGAATTTAAGCATTTATTTCTGCAGAATAGACATATGTAGAGGGACTGTGTTGGGGCTAGCACCTGAAGAGAAAGCAACGAATTCCACACTCAGTCTCTCCTTCAAAGAGTTTGTGGTCTGTCCTGACAAATGTTAGTAATAAATACAGCTGCAAAGCAGGGTCACATCCAGCGCTCTTAAGCCAGTTCATCGCGATCTCAGAGCTCCATTCCCTTCTGCTGCCGAAACTGGTTTCTGATGAGCAAAGCACCTTGGAGAACATACCATCTTCTTTAACAGGGCTTCGCTGTGACCAGGCTCTTTCACAAGAAGGTGTGCATTGTGCACAAAATGAACAAGGAAGTCATGCCCTCTCTTCAAGCCCTTGATGCACTCGTCAAGGAAAAGAAGGTAAAAATAAAGTCTTCTTATTTTTGCGCGGGGGAGATCTTATGATTTCCAATAAATAACAAGGTCACAAATGTTCCTTCGTAACCACAGTGTGATGTAGTGTGCAGCACTGAAGGGGGGGAGTTGGTGATTGCCTGCGGAGGGGCAGCTACCACCACACTCAAGTGCTGTGGCTCACACCTGCCTCCACAGAGGCCGAGCAGAACTCCTCACCTTTACTGTCAGAGGAGTTAAGCCCTGTTCACGGCAAGGGGAGCCCTCAGCACTTTCCAAGGACATTTTTCTGCAAGATTTGGGTTAAAGTTGTTAGATTTAGTAAATGAAAATTAGAATATACCCAGCTGAGTTTGAACTTCAGATAAATAATGGGTAATACCTTTAGCATAAGTATACCCTGTGCAATACTGGGGACATGTTTATACTTACAAATGACTTGTTGTTTATCTGAAATTAAAATTTAGCTGAGTGTCCTGTGTTTTATCTGGCAACTCTAGTCGGGATGGGTGAGGAGAGGGGATCCATCATTTTCCAAATTGCTCCTATTCCTATAACTGATAAATGGGTACCACTCATTGACAGTGTAGAGAAATTAAATAGACCCCCTTCTCAGAAGCTGATTTATAATATAACTGAATCCAAAAAATATCAGATAACAAGATGAGGTCCAGGCTTCAGAATAAATTTATCCTCAGACTTCTGCTTTCATGAAGGTTTCCGACCAGCTAAACCCCTTAGGATACTTAGAAATTCTGAGCTATACAGGGTTGCCATTGGTCCTTCTTCATTTTCGTTATGGAAGAATTATAGCCAAGCAATACCGGCTGTGGGTCTTGTACCCAGCCCCTAATTCAACAAGCCACTGGGCGTAGCACTCACTCTCTCTCCTCCTTTCCACCTGTCTTCTCCACACTCCGCTTCAGGGCAAAGGACCAGGGGGACCACCTCCCAAGGGCCTGATGTACTCCGTTAGCCATAACAAAGTCAATGACCTGGACAAGTTTGGGAAATCCATCGTGACCATGTGCAAGGGGGTTCCAACATACATGGCTGAAGAGATTCAAGGTGAGTAGCCTCCCTACTGTGTGCTGCAAGTTAGCGCCGGTGGGATTGGCAGGCGATTCTCGGCCACGCCTACAGAGGGCACCAGGTACTCAGGAGATGGTAATCAAGGCGGACACTCACGCAGCACTTGCCCTGTGCTGCGCTCTATTCTGCGTGCTTTAAGTAACTCACTTGCTGCCGACAGCAATCTTATGTGCTAGGTTTTATTGTTTTCCTCACTTTCTGGATGAGGAAACAGGCACAGAAAGGTGACAGATCCGTTGCCGGGGTCAATCCTAAGCATTTTTGGCTCTGGATTCTGTGCTTTTAAGCATTCTGAAACACTTTCTCTCAAGAGTGAATCTAGAGAAAACTCAAGACATATTTTTAAAAACAATGCATGAATTGCTAAGTGAAAAGAGAATGCCAATAAAATCTACTGACTTTTAATAGCTCAAACAATCACTAATTCTGGGCATTCAAAGAATAACTTACACAAAAACAAAGTGTTCACCTAGGAGTCTAACATACTAGCAACTTTCCAGACCTCTGAATTGATTGATTTAATCTTGACAGCCAGCTAGCTAGATCTTGAAACACTGCAGAGTTAGTTTTGAAACTGTGACATTCCTCTCCTATCCCCCTGCCCTCCCAATAAAGTACTTGAAAAGGCATTGATACTTGTTTCTTCTTTCCTTTTTATCAGGGGAAAGCCTGATCTTGTACTCAGAAAAGTGCTTCATTACTAATATACTCTGGATTCTGAACATTTCCTTCTGTGGAGAAACAGTGGAGTACTAAAAAAAAAAAGTTGCTGTGGATTTAGTCATCAGAATATTCTATACAGAAAAATATGAGTTCTAATGGTTTTTATCATGTCATTCTGAAATGTTTTCTCCTAATTATGTTTGGTTTCTTCAAGTGTCAATAAACCTATTTTAGCACTGAGTTCAGCTTACACTAAAACTCTTTATGATTTCCATTTGGGATGCACAGGATCAGAAGCGCAATGTGGTGGTGGCAAGCTGTCAAAGTGCACTAGACCCAACAATTAGCCTGTATTCAGGGCCTACCCCTTATAAAGAACCGCTTCAGCTGCTTCTGATGCTACCAACCACAGCTCTGGAAATGGTTCCAAGACCATCGAACTGCTCTGAAGACTGCTCTATAGTTGATGTGAACAGCAACATTTCAGATCAGCAAGGGCAGAAATCCACTCAGAGTAGCTTAAGCCAGAAAAGGGGGCAGGGGTGGTTATTGCAAGGTACTGGAGTATCTAAGATACTCTTGGGGCAAGAAAAGCAGCTGGTATCAAAAAACACTGGAACTAGGAACTATATCAAGACCAAGATCCAAGTCTCCTTCTTTCTCCTTGAAACTGTTGCAGAAAAACGTGTTACAGCTCAGTGTTACAGCTCAGTTGTGACAGCAACCTGGATCTGGGCGAGAGACCAAGCAGCACTTGGAGAGTTGGAGAACTCAGGTTTACTACGCCAGCGGGCCCAGAGGAGTTAAGCTCTGGACCCCGTTTACACAGGCTTTTATAGGCTGCCAGTTTACACGTTGCAACATCAT